ACTGTTTCTATGTATTGGGTAGCTGCTAAGTCTCCTTGAGTTGATAGAGTGGCCTTCTGTAGTAGGTGTCCTATAGGGCCCAGTGGCTCAACCTCCCCAATCATCTGAGGTGGACACTTTTGGTGCACTCCTTTGTGGGCTGTGAGCACAGTCTTGTTGTAGTTGAGCCTTGATTACTATTGGTGTCACTGTGAGGAATTGATCTCCAGGCCAATTGGCTGTGGGACCAGCTGTGACAACAGTGGGAGAGCTGCTGTGCTGGAGACACCCTTATGGAGCAGTACTTGCTTCAGTAGGGAATTGGTGCTCCCTGAGTCTGCCCCTTGAGTGTGTCACTTATGGCTGTGAATAGTTGTAATCTGGTATGCTCTCACACTGACCACTGGGTACACTGGCTCTTGGATCTCCAGGAAGGTGCAAAGTCAGCTACTGCCTCTGGCTACCCAGCAAGAGCTACAGAGAGATCTGTAGAGTCCTCTTCTTTGTATCAGGTTTGGAAGTGTCCATGCAAGGCCCAGCTGTGAAGCAAGGCAGGCTGGTGCTGGATGTCAGCCTTGGGCCTTTTATTTACAACTTTGGAGCTCCCTGACCCAGCTGCACCTTGTTTGACAGGTTTTAGGCTGAGAAAGGACAGGCCATTCATATGCAAAAGGTGCTGCACACAGCTTGGGTGGGGTTGTAAATTGCGGAGGGGGGGTGGGGGGCAGCGGTCTCAGGGAATCTCCAGGGCAGAGCGAACAGAAAGGCTGCCAGTCAGCCCTGCACCAGGGAGATCCCAGCATGGGAACAATGACCGCTGAAAGCACCTCCGTCTGGAAGAAAGCTGCCCCCAAGTTCCTGCTCTGATGTCAGACTGTCCAGTTTCTCCCCGTATGTGTCTGGGTCCCCCAGAGCCTCACCCGGCACTGGAGCTCAGAGGAAGTGGGAGCTTGTAAATTTAGCTTGCGGTGCCAGCCTTTAAAGAGGAGCAACTGGGTATCCAGCAGCTTGTGTGTCACTCACCCCCAATCCGCACTGGTTTTACAGTCTGTAATTCTTATGGCCCGTAGGGACTTCTTTCCCCAGCTCTGGGACCCTGGGCTGGGGGTTTGGTGTGGGGCTGGGACTCCTTGCTCCTCCAGGCAGCCTCCGCAGAGACGATCTCCCTACCAGCCCGTTCCATGCCTCCGCACCTCCTACATCTCAGTGTGCTTTCTTCTTTACCTCTCTAGTTGTAGGACTTCACTCAGCCAGCTTTCCCGCGGTTCTGGATGATAGTTACTCTGTATTTTAGTTCTAATTTTGATGTGGTTGTGGGAGGGGGCAAGTACAGGCATTTATTTACCTATGCCACCATCTTGGTTCTTCTTAACTTTTCTTTTCTTTTTTTAAATATATATTTTAGATTTTTCACAGAGAGGAAGGGAGAGAGAGAGAGTTAGAAACATCTATGAGAGAAACATCGATCAGCTGCCTCCTGCACATCCCCCACTGGGGACGT